TAGCCTTCAGCTAGTCTGTTAAGGATGGCCTCTTTGATAATCTTTTCCAAGACCTTCCCCAGGATAGAGGTCAGGCTGATGGGCCTGTAGTTAGCCGGATCCACTTTCCTCCCTTTCTTGAAGATCAGCACCACATTGGCCTTCTTCCAATCATCGGGCACTTCACCAGAGCACCAAAAGCTCTCAAAGTTCCATGCCAGGGGCTGGGCTATGATGCTCACCAGCTCCCTGAGTATCCTTGGGTGTAACCCATCATGGCCAGCTGACTTGAAGGTATCCAGCCTGTCAAGGTGTGCCTTCACGAGGTCAGCTTCGATGGAGGGCAGGGGATCTCCCTCACCCGGGCCTCCCTGACCCATAGTGGGCAGGGCTGTCCCATGAGACTGGTGAAAAACTGACGCAAAGTACCCATTTAGCAAGTTCGCTTTTTCCTGGGGATTGAATAGCAACCTTCAACTCCCTGCAGGGGGGTTGCAAAGAGGCTGTAGCTGGACTGTTCTCAGTGGGGGCAGATGACAGGACAAGGAGCAATGGGCTCAAGTTGCAGCAAGGGAAGTTGAGGTTGGATATTAGGAAAAACTCTGTCATGAGGACTGTCATAAAGCACTGGAATGGGTTACCCAGAGAGGTGGTGGAGTTGCCATCTTTGGAGGTTTCTAAGACCCAGCTCAACAAAGCCTTCTCTGCGATGATGTAGTTGGGGCTGGTCCTGCTTTGAGCAGGGGGGCTGGACTGGATCAGACCTCCTGAGGTCCCTTCCATTCTTCATTTTCTATGATTCTATGTCAGCTCAAAGCTGAGAGCATTTGTAAAACCATGATCCAGGAAAATGATTCTAGTAGTTTTCCTTTTCTACAACAAAAAGGCCTTTTCTTCAAATCATTTTCCTCTTTTTTTGTAACCCTTGTCATGCTTTCATTTTGTGTAGAAGAAGGCTCACAGGGGGGTAGCTGATCAGATGAGGCAGAGCACTAAACACCATATTACAGGAGAACAGGGCAGGACCCAGAAAGCAGCCAGTTTTTAAGGCATGAAGAGATGGAGAGCTTTTGCATGTTCCTTTATGGCTGCCATTTTGAGCATGGGGTTGGAAGGGTAGATCAGAATGGTGACAGTTCCCAGCAGTAGGTTGTTTAAATCTCCCAATCCAGCTACACTGTAATATATCATACAATATTTACTAAAAAAATTATTTTCAGGTTTGAGTCTGCCCCTGATTTAGTTTAATCCTGGCAGTGACTTGGAGGACTTCTGGTCCTGCCTTGGAATTCACTGGGTGAACTCCTAGATTTTGGGATCCATTTCTTGTCTACAACACAATTAATATCATTGGGGGTGTTATAAATGGTGTCCACAAAATCCAAGGGTCGAGTTGTGGGTTCTCTAGCAAACATATAGTCCAACTCCTCTCAGCAGCTGCAGATCCTGTGACATCTCCCAGGGGCCCCATTATTGTCTTGAACACTCTTACAGCACAGCTGGAGTTCCTTCCCTGTATTTTGGCATTGGCTTGGGTTTCAATTGTTCTCTTTTTTTCTGCATCTGTTCTGATAACTGCTTGTGTATCTCTCTATTACAGATGAGCCTATACGTGCTAAATAAATGAAGTCCAGGTGCTCTGCAGATAACCCCCACAGAAGCCTGAGACTTGACTGCTGAATAATCAGGAGTATCGCAGAGGTATAAGAACCACACAACGGAGGACCACAACAAGCCAACCTTTAAACGGGGAGGTGATGTCCAGTCAGAATGACCTTAGAGCAGTAGAGGCGCACAGTGAAATGGAAAAGGACAATGCAGGCACCCAGCAAAGCAGTGCAGGATACCAGTGGGGTACTTGGAAAACATGCAACATTTGTTTGGGGAGGGAGATCCAACTCCTCATGCTTTTTTTATGCGTAGACTCATCCCACTTCTTAGTAAATCTGCTTCCATGGTGTATTTAGTAGTGCCAGATGACTTTGTTTGTAGACACAAGACACTTTAATGTGAAGTAACTAATTAAACTGCAACAAACTTCAAGTATAAACAAGTCCTCAGGGTCAGGGCCTAAGTGTTCTTTTGTCAGAGCTATTTGCTATGACTATCTAGCTTAGGTTTTATATTTAAAAATAAGACCCTAAAATGGTTCATTTTCATAGTTTCTAGAGTCAGGAGGGACCTGAACAGATCATCAGGTCTGACCCCTGCCCTGGGCAGGAACGAGTGCTGGGATCATAATACCTCAGCCAGATATCTATCCAACTTCCTCTTGAAGACCCCCAAGGTAGGGGAGAGCACCACCTCCCTTGGGAGCCCATTCCAGAGCCTGGCAGCCCTAACTGTAAAGTAATGCCTCCTGATATCAAGCCTGAACCTGCTGTCAATCAATCTGTGGCCATTATTCCTTGTTATCCCAGGTGGTGCCTGGGGGGACAGAGCCTCACCTATTTTCCGCTGGTCCCCCCTGGTGAGTTTCTAAACAGCCACCAGATCCCCTCTCAGTCTTCTCTTGTGGAGGCTGAATAGATTCAGGCCCTTAAATCTGTCTTCGCAGGGCCTGGCTTTCTGCCCCCTGACCATGGGAGTGGCCCTCCTCTGGACCCTCTCAATGCTGGCCACATCCCTCCTGAAAGGCGGCCTCCAGAGATGGACACAGTACTCCAGCTGCAGCCTGACCAGTGCTGCATAGAGGGGAAGGATCACCTTCCTGGACCTGCTTGTGATGCAACTGTGGATGGATGACAGGGTGCAGTTAGCTTTACTTTTTAACACATTCGTTATTGCCACTTCTGGTGGAAATACCAAAGTCAAGTGCAAAAGCTTATAGCCATCTTTGATGCTCATTTATTCACAGTTAGTGTACATATTAAGTCTCCATTTGTAAAACGATTGTGTTAAATCCAAGTTATTTCAGGAATGATATTGATATAAACACCTTTAGATGGGTATAACTACATCCACATTAGAGGGTTGCACTATATCTGTTTCTGAAGCCGTGTAACTGTATCTGTACAAAAACTGTGTGGAGACAAGCCTCACTAATTATACTCTTATTAATTATACAGCAGTACAGATATGCGTGGGACTATAAGATATACAGTAATGCACATTCATATCCTGAAGAGCTTCCAATTAAGAGGAAACAGAAAAGGGATGGGAAAAAAGAGCTCGGGACAAGGAATGTGTTGATAGGCAAACAAAGGGTGAAGGAGTCCATGAAAGAAGTGTCTTAAAAAAGAGGTTTAAAGGGGAGGTGGCTGGAGTTTGGTCCAAGTCCCAGGGGTAGTGTGCACTATAGTGAAATACCCCTGTAGGGTGATATAATGACCAGTCATTGCCAGATGTGGTTGTTTGAAATGCCTCTACATCATCTTCATGGAGTGTTTCTGCTTTCCTTGATTGTGTGAGCTTGGAACTCGGCCACAGCATTGTCCAACGGGGTTGTTCAAATGCTCTGAGTTGGTACAGAGTTATAAATCCCCCTAAATCATCTTTCAAGTAAGCATCCTGAAGAAGAATCTGATCCATCTGCTCCCATCTGTTAGTTGGAGCTTGTTCTGATGCCATGCCCATCACCATAGGAGCTGCGCATCCAGCAGGTGAAAATGGAGAAATTCAGAAGAGTTTGGGACATCTCTGTTTGGTCTCTGTGTGGTGGTCTTGCCACCCTCCAGAAGCAAGCAGCATATAAGCAGAAAAATGTCAGAACCCATCTTTGGATGGGGAAGAGGAAACAATTTAAAAGATAAAGCCACCTGGGGTGACAAGTAGGTACACTGCCCTACCTATTTTTCTATGATTCTAGCCCTCGAACAACTATTCCAATAGAGACAGGAAAGCTGACTTGCCTACGGTATGTCATTAAACCGAAAAGTCAAGCTTTTTCTATTGAGTTGGCAGCTCTATATAATGAGCTTGTTTTACTCTGCCACCATCTATAAGTTGGAGGACTCCAGGTAGAAATTAAGGTGCAAAAGGTAGTTAAAATTGGATGGTCAGCTTAATCTCTGAATGATTTTCATTGCAAAGTAGTTTTCATTCCTTTTCTAAAAAATTCTGCATTTTGACTCAACTGAAGGACATGTATGTTCAAGTCTTCTTATTCAACTCATCAGTGAGCAAAAATATAATTTTGAGAAGAAGGCAATAAACTTCCAGATTTTCCCCCCAAAATTTATTCTTTGACTTCAGTTTTTTGGTACTCAAAACCTCTCAGAATAAAGACCTGTCTTATTTCTTATTTTAGCTCTAATCTCAGATATGCTATTAGTGGTAAGAAAAGAAAAGAAAAGAAAGGAAAGCAACCATGTCAATCAGAAAATGTTAATTTGTTCAAATAGAAATGTTTTTTTAGAATGTGTTGACTTCAACAAAGTGTGATGGAAATACTTCAAAATTATTCCAAATTAAAATGAAGTACTCTGCTTCACCTTTGTCAGTTTACTTTGGCTTTTATATTGTAAAATATGATTTATAATATTATAGTTGATGGCATCCAGTGCACACTTAAATAATTTGCAGACAACACCGAGTTGGGTGGTGTTGCAGATACTCCGAAGAGTAGGGCTAGGATCCATGATGTGAATAGACTAGAGAAATGGTCCACAGTCAGTCAGATGAGATTTAACATGGACAAGTGCAAAGTCCTGCACTTGGGACAGAATACCCTCATGCACAAATGCAGACTGGCTAGGCTGCAGTACAACAGAGAAGGACCTGCGGGTTACAGGAGACCAGAAGCTGAATATGAGCCAGCAGTGTGCTGTGCCTTGTTACAAAAAAAGCCAACAGCATCCTGGGTAGTCTTAACTGGAGCGTCACTTGCAAATCCAGGGAAATCAAGGCACTGGTGACGTCTCACCTGGAGCACTGTGTCCAGTTTTTGGCCCCACACTTCAAGAAAGATGTAAACAGTTTGGAAAGAGTCCAGGACAGAGCAACAAATACAACTTAGGGCCTGGGAGGAAAGACTTATGCGGAAAGGCTGAAAGAACTAAGGTTATTTAGTCTGGAATAGAGAAGACTGTCGGAGGATTTGATAAACATCTTAAAATGGCTTCAGGATGACTCTAGAAAGGATGGAGCTTGGCCTATCTGTGTGGTCAGAGGGGACAGGACTAGGAGCAAGGGTCTCCAGGTGCAGCAGGGGAAGTTTAGGTTGGAGATTAGGAGGAACTTTCTGACTCGGAGGCTGCTCAAGCATTGGAACAGGCTGCCTAGAGAGGCTGTGGAATCTCCATCCTTGGAAGTTTTCAAGAGCAGATTGGACAGACTGTGACAGGGGGAAGTCTCAAGGCCGGTCCCAATGCTGGCCCGCCCACCTGTCTAGGCCAATCCGCCCTCGCTCGTCTGCCATGTCTTGCTGTTTTAAAATTGATACAAAAATATGGGAGGCTGCCCATTAAGTGCCCTGATGCCTAGGGCATTATACATGGCTCCAACCTTCCCTATACCGTGTCCCATTGCTTGCAGATGGCATCCAAAATCATAACTGCCACAGATGTCCTCGCACGTGCCTGGGGCTCCTGCCCTCTCACTAGGGCCTTCAATTTCTCATCAAGCTCTTGGGGCTGTCCTGTGCACAGTCCTTCAGGCCGCACTGGCAACCCTGCTCTGCATGCCCCAATGCAGCCCTTCAGGCCTGCCTACAGGGATTCAACTCTGCACCCAAATGTGCAGTCCTTCAGGCCACCCCTGCGACCCTACTCTGCACAGCCCTTCCATGCACTTTACACCCCATCGCTAGGGCCACTATTCCACCCTCTTGCTGTGGCCACTCTTTGGACCCCCATGACTGGGGCTGCAGGGTCTTACACCCCACAGGACTCAGGTCTCTCCCTAGGCATGCCTGGCTCCCTGCCTGTCCTTACTGATGGATTACTTACCAGGTTGTGGTGGCTGAGGCTATAAAGTGCCCCTTACTTGCCTTTCACTAGGGAGGCAAATGGTGTGGCATTTCCTGGGGACCACCCTGCCACAGGCAGCCCCACCACACCATCCTACCCTAGTAGGGTGTAGTTGCAGGTCTTGCCCCAGGGCCAGGAACCTCCTCCATCCCCATAGTTCCTGCCCTGTACCTCCAAGGATGTTATGTGAGCAGCAGCTCCAGCTGCGTGATATTCTTTTTCTGGCTGCTTGCAGCAAACTGCTGGCTCTGCTGCCAGTGCCCACTCTTATCCCTAGCAGCTGTGCTCTTTTCCCAATCAGGCAGCCTCCTGCTGGCCATGTGACTGCTGACTGGGAGTGCAGCCACCTGCAGGCTGCTCTGCTGCTTGCTTTAAGCCCTTAAAGTGGCAGGCACCAAAAGTGCCCTGCCACACAAACCCTTGGCTGGGATGGTTTAGTCAAGGATGATCCTGCCTTGAGTAGGGCCCTGGACTAGATGTCCTTATGAGATCCCTTCCAGCCCTATTTTCCTATGAGCCTATTTTATGTAACATCAATCATATTATTATATACATCATATACATTAGGGCTGTGCAAAATGGCACCGTTCCATCTCATCTTGAGTTTTAACAGTTCAATGGAACAGCGTTCCATTTTGAATTTCATTTTGAGTCGAAACAGCTGTTCCGATGCATGATCATACAATATCATGTTGTTATAAAACGCTATGTAGATATCTCAACATCAAAATGGAACCTTTTGTCATTGACAAAGTGAAGCATATCAATAAGATAGTTTTAATGTTGTGAATTTAAATTTTCAGAATTTTCAATTTGGAAAAAAATGGAAATATTATCCTAGTTCAAGTTGGAAACAAATTTTGAATGATCAGTATTTTCCCTGGGATAGAAATTATCTGTTTTTCACACATATATACAATTTCATTGACTACTTGTATTCATAAAGCTAAACAGCTACAGAAGTGTGGAGTCCAGGCCTCAAACCAGTAAAAGGCAATGCACTTTTACTTCCATCAGTAACTTCTGGAGCAATTATTCAGATTTCCTAATT